CTGCAATATCAAGATGCATTTAGGTGTATAACGGTACATCTTTATCAATCTATGACCAATCAAATTGCTTATCAATATACATTTGAGACTGTCTTAATTGTTTTCATTAAACAAGTCAAAGAGGAATGACCAACAGATGACTGATAAACTCATTAGTAATTCTATTTTTTTCTATAATTATTAATTTTTTTAAAGTGTATTTTTTGTTTTAGATGTAACAATTGGGATACAAGATTTTTAGGATTTTCAGAGAGAAGTTCAATTGGTTGCATTTGTAAGTAAAAAAATGCTTGCTGTGTAAAATAGAAAAAAAAAAAAAAAAATTACTGATTCTCATTTTTATGAACTGATTCCAATTCTTAAACCCCAAGAAGAATCGATCTTTTAGTCTACCCTGTTTTCAGTTGATGAGTGAACAGAACATTGTAGCTCGCCTCCCATCCTATAACTAGCAATGAGCTTTTAAAAATTGATTTGAAACAAAGTCTTGGATTTCAAATTCTGTCAATTTTATGTAAAAATTCTAAGAATACTGTTTTGGTACTCTATAATGTGGCGTAACAGATGTTGCCTCCTCAGATCAAGCCAAGAGTCCATGACAATCACCATTTATAAGTTTGTATTTAAATAAAACGAATTGGAGTCAAAACATCATTGTTTAATTATGAAGTTAGTATTTTAACTTTATTACACTAAAAATGTGTTTGTACACAAATCAGTCAATTTTAACCTTCATTATTATAGTAATGTAGTACCAAATAGTTCACAGCAGGTTTTTTTTAATTATTATTTTAAGAAAATGCTATGTAAAGTACCTGATATCCAAAATAATCGATATCGAGAAACAAGCTTGCGAATGGAAATCGAATCGAATTGTGAAATTTGAGTCAATAACCAGTCCTAGCACATAATATCATAATTGATATGATCTATCACAGGCATGTTTTGAGGTAAATTTTGTTTTGTTTTGTTTCGTATCGTAACGTTTCCTTCCATCTCTCTCACCTTCTGCCATTTAAACGTGCCGAGCAGGTTGTTGTCTCCAAACGGATTGTCGGCGTTGGTGTAGCCCATGTACTCTTCACTCCAGCCCATCTTCTCTCTCTTCTTCCTCTCTTTGGCCTCTTTCTTGGCCAGACGCCTGGCTCTCTTCTCCTCTGGGGTCTCCAGCGCTTTCATCATCTCCTTCTTTTTCTTGGTCTCTTCTTTGGCGTTGGAGCGACCCTGTGCCGTCTTTTCCCCCTGATCAGAGTCGACGGAGGAGCAAGAGGAGCTCGAGGATCTGGATTCTGAGCGTCTACGTCGGTCTCGTTCTCTCTCTTTACTCTTTCTCTTCCCTCTCTCCCGGCTGGGGCTCCTGCTCTGCCGTCGTCTCCTCTCTCGTTCTCGCTCCACGCTGGAGTCTGAGCTGGAGCGCGACGAGCTTCTACTCCTTCTCCTCCTCCTGCTGCCCTTTTCATCCTTGTGTTTCATCTTCATCTTGTGTTTCTTATGGTGACTGTGATTATCACCTGAAGAGCTAAATCGAAAAAAAATAATAACAAAAACAGTTGCAATCACAACCGGGAGAGTTCAGTTTCAGATCATCCGTGTATGAAGGACACCCATTATAAAGTAGCCATGAAATCAAAATTCATTTCTTTTTTTTCTTTTTTTTTGCACTATTATTTGTTGTGAATAATTTATCAGTGCACACTACAAATCATTACTTGTTTTAAAAATCATGTGGTCTCGTAATCTTTAATGAAAGTAACATCCCCTCTTTCTTGCATTGACATGATATCTGATGATGTCTATTAGCGCGAGGGCGGGGCGAACTGTCACTCACATGAGATCCAATTATCCACCAATAGCAAACCACATCCACCCAATCAACCGATAGACTAAATCAAGTAACGCCCTACATTTTTACCTGTTAAATAAGCCATTTCACTCAGATATACGTCACAGTGAATAAGAAACGACTTGCTATTACAACTTGCGTTTTATACCGACTTTGAAACTAAAAAGGCTTATACCTGGTTTATTGTATAAAGACCTCCACTCGTCGTTGAAATACTACTGTCATTTCAACTTTCCACACTGTTCAACTTTTTTGCCAAACTTTTCCACGTAACTTACTCTCCCTAACGGACAAACTGAAATTCCTACAGAATAGTTTGATAATTTGTATCAAAGTACCTACCTGTCTCTGTCTTTTGATCTTCCGTGTGATCGTGTTCTTCTGTCTCTGTGATCGCGGTCAGACTCGCTGGAGTGGCCGGACTCCCCGCCTCTGTGTCGGCTCGGGCCTGCGGAACCCCCGCTGCTCCTGGAGCCACCGCTGTCAGAACGCCTTCGTCTGCGAGAACCCTTCACGGGAGAGCGGTTCCGACTTTGACTGTGCTCTGGCGAGCGGACATGTCTGCGGGATCTTTCCTGAGAGCTAGACCGCGATCGGCTCCTACGATGCTTCTTCGAGTTCGACCCCATGTTTTTTAGGTCCTGACCGCGCCGCGTCGCGTAAATAGGTAATGTTAGATCGATAATTTTGGCATTACTTATATATCTCAAATCAATCCTGTGATAATATTTCCGATGCAATTATACATTTATTTATACATATTGGGGAAATGTGCATTTTTATTACGGTTCAAGCTTTACATTTTCGTATAATTTCAAGCAGGCGCTATATAGAGCTCCTCATTCTGAGGTCCTGTGTTTGAAGCGGAATGTTGACGCGCTGTTTCCTCGTCATTTTAATTGAATAGAACCTGAACTTTCGTTAAAAAGTGTAAAATGCACTATTCATTTAAATTAATACATTATTCATTTAAATACCACACGGTAGCACATACACCATAATAACAAACACAACACTAAAATATCACAAAGAACGATAACCCGTTGTAGGCTATTTAAAATGTGTTTACCTTGTTTTCAATGGATTTCACTTATGATTATGGTTGTCCTGTATATTATTGTTCGATTTCAGAAAATTATAACTTTTAATACATAATAATCTAATTCAATTGCTTTAATTCTAGTCTTGCTTTACAAGCTCAACTTTTAAAATTAGTTTGTTAGGATTGTATTTCCTTCCATTTATTCATTCAACTGGATGTGATGCTGTTTCTTCTTCTTTTTTTTTCTTTTTTTTGTCTGTCTAGTCTTATAGTACAATCTAGATCCCAGCTTACAGTGAAAGGGAATCAGTGGAAGAAGTAGAAAGCGAATTGAAAGAAATAAAGAAAAAGGCTAATGGCAATATAGTGCCTATTGGAGTGATGAAATTAAACAGAGACATTTATTTTTAATACAAGGAAACGTTGGGAGAGGTAAAAGTAGTAGAATCTCAAGATTAAGATTGGAGCAAAAAAAAAAAAAAAAGCCTGCTTCATCTAATATCTAAACATCCAAGGGTTGTGTGAATGGTGTGGACAGAGTGAAACTGAACATTATTATTAATTGTAGGAATGATGATGAAGAGAAATAAATATTATGAGAGGACAAACATTCTTCTAGCCTAATGTTACTACCTGTTTACTTTTGAGTTATCTGGTCTTTAATGTTCTCAAAAGGTTCGCACAAAAACACCATCTAGCTCTATAGCATTTTCTGAATCATTTTAGCTAGAGGTTCATATTTTTAATCGATTTTTAAATGCTACCTTTTGTTTCACAAGCTACTGAGAACATTCAAAAGTATAACATTCCCATAATGTTTGCAAAAAAAAGAATGTTCACTTAACATTGCATAACCAAAAAGAAAACTATTTTTAAAATAAAATTGAAAAATTGGACATTTTTAACGTTCAGAGAATATTCAAAAAATAGTTTTGTTGTTTAACTCAATGGGAACGTTAGCAATGCACATCTACAATGAGAAGTGCTGATCTATATCCTCCTCACATTACATCACATGAAAAACATGAAAAGGTGAACTACACTATTGGGCATTCAAAATGAACATGGCATCAATTTACTGATTAAATGAATATAGTTTCCATTGGAGGAGTTTGGTCTGATCTTAAACTCCCCAAACCTTTCTGCTCCTTTTCCATATAAACCCAGATAATTCAATTATTACCAAATGGTGATGTCTGTCATTATAATTAGAATTTGGTTGTGTATTCAGGAGCTCACACTGTGAGGTCTGCCTGATTTTACACACGGGAGGTAGTTTGAATGAGGCTAAGGGACACATCACTTTTTCACATTTCATAACTTCTTTTAGCTTTTCATCATAGTTGAGAATGAAACCATTTTACCAGGTGCACTGTGACACTTTAAAAGACACCAAACATGAATAGTTACATTTTGTACACACATGAGTTTTCAGTGTATTTCAGGTGAGGAGGAGAAGGGGGATGTGGTGTGTGTGAAGTGTGAACTGTGTCTCCAAAGTTCCTATGCAAGAGGCAGTTCCATATTCAAGAGATACTTCATGTGTTAATGCCCAGGATGGCCTTTTGCCACATTGAGGGGTCGACCAGACATACTGGCACCAGCCTTACAAACACAAGCTCTTGCTCTTGTTTAAGATGAAGACCTTTGTCCTTCTCATATCAGACTCTGTCTGTGTATAAACTGCCCTTTCTTGCAAGAAATAAATACTTATGACTTTCGAGATCTTAATTTTTTCTTCAATTGTTATTTGATATCAATTTCCACGACACTAGTTAGTAGATTTCTCCAATGATGCATTGGTAGTTGCGTTGTTCGAGAAACACACTCCTGGATGATTTTTTGTATAATAATGAGATTTTTTCTTTAAAAAACTTAAAAACCCCACGATGCTAATATACTTTTAATATATTTAAAGATAGTAAAATCTTTGTTAGTTTCTTTGCAATTGAATATGGAAAAAAGGGAATATAATGAGATCATTTTACCAGGCGCACTGTGACACTTTAAAAGACACCAAACATGAATAGTTACATTTTGTACACGCATGAGTTTTCAGTGTATTTCAGGTGAGGAGGAGAAGGGGGAGATAGTGTGTGTGAAGTGTGAACTGCGTCTCCAAAGTTCCTGTTACATATGCAAGAGGCAGTTCCATATTCAAGAGATAGTTTATGCGTTAATGCCCAGGATGGCCTTTTGCCACATTGAGGGGTCGGCCATTATATTCAGTTGGTGGTAATAGCCTCTATTGTCTTTAGATGATTCGATTAAGTGGTCACCTGTAAGGCCAACACTTTTAAGGACTGCCCACTGAATGCCTATATAAGATACCATGTAAAGTTCCTTTAGTCAGACTTGATGACTGCATTTCCCGACAGCTCTTGTTCTTAGTAAAGGATCCGGCTGAAGATACAACCAAGTCTCCTGGTTTTGGTTACAGGCTGCAGATAGTCTACCTGAAAATAAGTCTGTATTTATCAATCAGGCCAGTAGCAATGCATCACTTCTTTTCCACGATGTTTTCACTGCTAGCCATTATTTGGCATGCGAGCGGTCTGCCTGCTGTACGTCGTTCTCAGCGAAGCGTCGACCGATCTTACAGATCTGAGCTGACGGTGTCGAATGGGATGAATTGGGGATCGTGGGGATATAAGAGCATGTGTCCAAGTGGAAGGTACGCCGCAGGGTTTAGTCTGAGGGTAAGTTGACTCTATTTTGCTAATATGGGGGGGATGTGCGCTTCAAAGGATCAAAAAGGTGGAGTTGCTGTTTTCATTTAATTCTCCAGGGAACTGCACCTGGTTGTGTGTCTGTGTAATATTAAAGAGCATGAAGATAATAAATGTTACTAAGTGTTGGGTTAGAGTTTACTTTTTCAAGTGGAAGATTGTCTCAATGTTGTTTTTTAAAGGTGGAAAGACCACTTGATGGTGATGATACAGCGCTCAATGGGATTCGTCTTTATTGTGTCGATCGGCCAGGCTCACGTGACCACAACTCAATTGAGTCCAACGTAGGAAGGTAATGGACTCAGAATGTTAAAAATCCTTGCATTAAGTTTTTAAGATATTTAAGTAAATTGAGGATTTTCTTTAAAATAATGATTGATTTGATCAGGCAACGTCTGTGTGTGTTTTCTTCAGCTGGGGGGATTGGACAGATGTCAAGTGGTGTTATTCTGGATTCTTGACCGCTTTCCAGCTGAGAGTTGAATCTTCCCAAGGAAACGGAGATGATACGGCTGCAAACAACATCAAGTGAGTGTGTGGTGCTATAAGTTATAACAACTTACCCATCCTGGTTTTATTTGGCTATTTAAGGACTCAGTTTTCCCCCCATCAATCTCACTCGCAGTCGTGCTGCTGTTCAAGATTGTGATTGCTGTGTCAATCCGACTGCGCAATTACATATTTTATCATAATATTGTCACATCTGAATTTTTTCCAGGTTCACCTGCAGTGGAGGTGCTGTGCTGGAGGGTGACGGCACAAACTGGGGCAACTGGGGCGACTGGAGCCCAACGTGTCATGGAAGAGGAATCTGTGGCATCAAGACCCGGATAGAAGAGCCACAGGGACGAGGAGACGACACCGCTCTCAATAACGTCATCATGTTCTGCTGTGATTAAGGTGACGTGATCACAATCCAAAACTCAAGAACAACAAGAACATCAAGAAGATCAAATGTTTTGCATGTCATACAGCATAATGTAAATATGTAAGGTTAGCAGGTCATTATCAAAAGAAGCAGACATGTTCTGCTGATCAACCAAAGAAGGAGCTGCAGGGTGATTTTGTAATAATGAGCTTCTTTCCTTATTAAACTTGAAAATGTTATGGTACACATTCTCTGTGTCTGCTTGATCATCCTCACAGGAAACCCTTGTGCTCAAAATAATTCACTGGTTTGAGGAGGACAAACTTAAAGTCCCTATGAAATCAAAATTGACCATACTTACTTTGTTTGCCTAAATTGATCTTTTTGTGGTGAACAATTCATAGGCTACATGCAAGTCAATCCACACAAAAAAAATTTTTGGCTTCGTAATCTTTAATCAAAGTTTGAAAATGCCCCTCCCCTCTGCATTGGAGGACCTTGCCCGATGACGTAGGCTTTACGGTTTGGGCGTCTCCTTAACATCCATAACCACACCCCTCCAACTGACAGCTGCTGTGTGTTTGCGAGCGCCGAGCGAGCATTGATTGACAGCGTGTGTAAACTTGCGTTCTAGATCCAATCAGGCGCTAGTTAGAAAAAAAGCCACGCCCACTATTTTGCCTCATTTAGTATTCCGTTTCTCTCCGAAATACGTCACAACACTGGAGAAAAGTCGTTTGCAACTTCCGGTTCACGGGGACTTTAAATTAGTCAAATGAACTTTATTTAAAGAGTATAAAAATGTTCCTGCTACATTTTATAGTTGTAATTAAATTATTGTTTATTAAAATGTTGTAGTAGCCTAACTTAATATCACATTTCAATCATGCTGGGAGGAGAAAAACCGAAATGGTACTATTTTTGTGATATTGATTAACATAAAATTAGATAAATATATACATTTTCTAACCTATCTTGAATTTTGTGATCATTCACATGCATTCATATGTGATTTTTGTCAATAATATGAAATATTTAATCCGGAAAGGACAAAACAAATGATAATGAATGAACCCAAAAGGTTCCATATGGAACTTTTTTCCTAGTTACAAAAATCCCCTAAAGGGTTCTTATTATTGAACCCTTAAAAAAGGGTTCTGTATAGAACCTTTTAGGGGTTCCAAATACGTTGCGCTGATAGAAACTTTTAAGGTTCTATATAGAACCTTTTCTTTTAAGAGTGTACAGATACCCTCATCATGAGTATGGTGACTGGAGGGTATATGGAGCTGCCTGAAGTGTAAGTTGACTCGCTCCCTCTGTCAAAATCGAGGGTCTGTCCATATAAACTTCCCTCGTCCACTTCAGGTAGTGGAACACACTTCAAAATGGCTCCAGGGATTCCCCCCGAGGGGAAGTAGGGAAGTTCAGAATTCAGAATTCCAGGTGCTGGAACAGGGAATCCGTGTGTGGACCACAGACGCCGCCTGTCATTGACTTACATAAGGCATCACTTCCGCGGGTCCATCACAGGATTTTCCGTGATTCCGTGAAACTGACACAGATTTTGAGTTAAGGGGACGTGTTCATTTCACAGAATTCTGTGAAACCAGGTTGGCCTATTCGAAGGTTCAAATGTTCACTTATCTCTTCTCCTTTGTTTTAGTTGGGATGATCAATCACAGACTCCTGAGCCATAGATGAGTATACGTTTAGATTTATTAGTACTTTCATAGCGGCTTTCTGCCACCACATGCACCATGCTAACAGTTTCTTCCATATACTAGACAGGGTTGCCACTACTCCATAAAACCAACCACTATCATTACAACCTTGATGTGATTTTGTAGGCTATTGTATTCTTTTTATTATACATTAATGGACCATGGGGAACATACAGGTTAAAGGGATAGTTCACTTTGAAATGAATTTTTGATATGTTTTAGCTTACCTCGAGGGCATCCAAGATGTAGGTGTCTTTGTTTCACAGTATTTTCAATTTTGATATTTTTCGGTCAAACCGTTCTTGTCTGTCAGTCTAGTTAGAGTTTTGCACATTTATCTCCAGTTGTGCTCACTGTCGTTTAGCAATCGAAAAAAACGGTAAGCCTTAGACAGCAGGCCATATACTTAGCCATCTTGTTGGTACATGCCCACCACGTACAGCGTCATAAACCAACATGTTTGAACAACCACTTTGTGAGAAAAGGTTATGATTAGTTTCTCCAATGACGCATCGTACCATGGTTGCGTTCGTTGTGTGGGAATAGTCTGTTTCTGGATAGTCTGTTTTCTGTGGCTGGTTCAAGTTTCATCAATATGGAAAAGCAGTTTCTCAGAGATCAGTGTGAAACGTTTTGAAGTGTTTTTAAATGAAACGATCAGTGTTTTTTAACAAATGCTAAACTGAGCTGTTTGTGGTGAGAGAATTATAATGAGGTTACATGAGTGTCATTTCAACATATTCAACTTCCTGTTTTAAATACAACGTCAGCCATCTTGATGTTTGTTACAATGGCAGTAGATCGTCTACTTAGATCCTTCATTCTTCTCCTCGTCTGTAACACAGGTAATACACTCAGTTATTAAATGTGTATAAATAACTGAAATGTCTTGTTCTAGTGCTTTATGTCGTATAAAGCATCATGATCTATAGTTCTGCATCTGATGAACAGGATCTGCTCCTGATGACAAACTAAAGCACTAGAGAGCAAGAGTGACTCGTCTCTAACATTGCTAACACTAGAGTGCTATAAGAATCATTTCCATTAGGGGTTGAAAAAAACACATCAGATTTGTATTTATTTGAGATATTTTGATTATATTTCATGAAGTATGTTGTAACACAGTTGTGGGAAGAAGGAAGTGGAAACCGTTGAATGATCAAAGATTTTTAATAATTAAATAAACATATACAAAAGTAAAGGCAGCATCCCCTCACGGACGACTGCTGTCACATAATAAATCAGAAACACACCGGAAAATCCAGGGCTGTCCTTCACTGTCGTCGCGACTCGCTCATAGTGTGTTTTGTTATTTGTGTGTTTTCAATGTTCATCAAACACATCTAACCTTTGCCGCCTGAGAGCAGTGCATAATGTAAGGACTAATATATCTGCAAGACTGCAACTCCAGAATGGAAACAGTAGTTATGATCAACTCTGGTACTGGAACACAGAGCATGAGATGATTAACAAATCAGTGTTTCTCTCCTCAGGGTTCAGTGATGAGATCTCTGTGTTTGTGCAGACGGGAGATTCTGTTCAACTGGATATACAGACTCAGAAACTACCAGAGTTTTATATTTTATCCTGGACAAATGATAAATCAGAGAATGTAGTTGTGTATATACCTGGAAAAGAAGTTAAACCTCACCCTTCTTACAAGGACAGAGTGGATTTCAATGCTGAAACCTTCTCTCTCACACTGAAGAACATGCAAAAGAACGACAGTGGACTCTATACAGCAAAGACAAGAGGAGAATCAGATGAAACTATTGCTACATACAGAGTATCTGTTATAGGTGAGTCTCATTTCATTGTGTTCCTGTATAAAAGACAATTCAGAAGAGTAATGTTTAATTTCGCACTTTTATATAGCGTGCAAATTTATTTTTAGTCTAACATTTTAAATAAAAAATACAGATCAATGTGGTGAAATAAATATTGTTGGGTCGTGTTTATTCTTTATGTTGTTTTTAGATTTGAATGTATACTGCATCTCTGCTGTGATATTTATACAGCATGAATCAATGTTTAAACTTTTATTTTTTTAAATCAATGGGCTGTTAAATTGTGAGTGTGATTCTGATCTTGGCGTAAATGTGTGTTTCAGACGCTGTGGAGGCTCCTGTTCTGACTGTAAACTCAATCTGGTCCAGTGATTCCTGTGTTATTCTTAATTTTACCTGTAGAGGTCATAACCTCACACTCAGCTCCATGTTTCAACATGGCAGCTGCTCTCCAGACGAAGTGACATCACATGAGAACTACAATCTCATCCTGCACTGCAGTGAGGAATCCATCATCTGCAACCATAGCAACACTGTCAGCTGGAAGGAAGACAGGATACATGTAAAACAACTCTGTAGAGGTGAATATCTGCTTTTAATTTGATCTCACAAATCAAGGGTGCTTACTATAGACTAATTTTTATGTTCTTCATCTTTTACTTTCCAGATAATGAAATACTACCAATCACAACATCATCTCCTGTGCCGTTGCTTATTCTTATGTGTATTGTGTTTGGTGTTGTGTTTGGAGTTATAGTAATGGTGTGTTCTGGTTTGCTCCTTTACTTTTGCTGCAAGAATAATAAAGGTACATCCATTTCACAAACATATATATATATATATATATATATATACTGTATATATATACCCTAAAAAATGTATTCTTTGGTGGCTAAAGAATGTTGCAATATGGAAAGGGGGACATAAGCAATAAGGTTTACAGTATATATAGAAACAACACATGATTACAGTCTAAACATATATAAGATATTAGGCCAAGATACGTCATTGTCTAGTTTCGTCTGGCCATATTTTATGTTATAGTTATATTTTTCTTCTGTTTCACAGCATTCAATATTCCATGCGAATCCCTTAAATACACAAAATTATCTTGTTTCTAAATATTTCTATTTTAAATCTTGACTACAATTCTGACTACATTAAATATTTACTGCTGGCAATAAATACTCAACTCATTTTTTTTTTTTCTTACACTTTCTAACTCTTTATGAAATGCTAGGAGATACAACAAAAAAACTATTTTATATTAGTAAGAGCTGTCTAGTGAATCCAGAACTCTGGTCAATATTAAATTTGTATGATGTCAGTCTGATAGATGAGAGAAATCAAACATCTGACAGCAATCAAATGCAAAGAAACATGTTTCCACACAAACCTGTAATCTGTCCAGTAAACATCCATGTTCTGATCCTCAGGTGTCAAACAGAGTGACGATACAGACTACGATGATGTTGAGGTGAGATTCAAATGACTTCAGATGTCACAGATAATAAATGTAATGTGACCCAATGAATATTAACTGTATTTCACATGATCTGTGGTGGTTCGATTCATTTTTGTTCAGACTCTGACGCAGAAGATGACAGGAGACACCTGGACCACCATCACCTACCATACAGTAGGACACCAAACACTTTCATCTGCTCATGACTGTTAAAACATAAAAATCCTTTTTGATTGACTGGACTCATTAAAGTCTTGATTTAACTCCTAGATTGCATGACTCTGGTGGAAGTGTACAGGATATATTATACTGTTGTAAGTCCAGTACTTCAGTACGTTTCTGCATATAATGAACGGGACGGGTGTTTCCTTGCTTTCCTCATGTCACTTTAATATATCTCATGTACTCTAATCATACTGTTTATTGTTTTTTTTTTTTTTTTTTTTTTACGCGGTTTGAATTTCTGCTATTTTTACAATGATGTTTTGAATGGCTGCCATTGGTGGTGAAAATGCTTTTTTGCTGTCGAATGGTGTAGTTTTTAATTTCTACCAGCAGAGGCTCAGGGCCGTTCTAACCAGATAAACTGTGCCGATGTTAGTTTGACTTTACAAATGTCAATGCCAATCTCATTTCTATGTAAACCTGAGTGGCTTGTATTAAAAATGTGGTTCAACATTAATGTACAGTTACTCTTTTAAAATAGTGTATTGTTGGATGCTGGAATGTTTTCTGTGACTGGTCCAAACCAATGTTTGTTTTCAGTTTTCATACTCTAGTCTCATTTGCAGGTTATTAAAATGCTGTAACTTTCTTAAATTGTCCTGTATCTTTCTTAAACATCTCCTAGCCTACCATATTGTTTTAGTTTTAGAAGCATTAATATTAAATCTAACTGATATAACTAAACTAATAATTGTCCAGCTGAGGATCATAACAAAAGCTGAGCTGGTGAGAGTTATGAGGTTAAATGGGCGTCATTTCACACTTATTCAACTTCCTGTTTTAAATAAAACTTCAGCCATCTTGATGTTTGTTACAATGGCAGTAGATCATCTGCTTGCATCCTTCATTCTTCTCCTCATCTGTACCACAGGTAATACACTCAGTTATTAAATGTGTGTAAATAACTGAAATGTCTTGTTCTAGTGCTTTATGTCGTATAAAGCATCATGATCTTCTGCACCTGATGAACAGGATCTGCTCCTGATGAGAAACTAAAGCACTAGAGAAACAGTGATTCGTCTCTAACATTACTAAGAGCTAAAGAATCATTTCTGCTACGTTAGGGATTGAAAAACAAATGTAAATCTGTTTACACCAGGTTTTCAGGGGTTAAAACATAAAGTGATACTGCTGATGCTTTAAAGCCCTTAACGCTAATTAGAGATATTTTAGTTAGGCGTATATTTCATGATCCATGTATCATAAACAAGTTTTTTTTTTTATTCATGGATTGAGCTTCTCTCTGATATGCTTAACTAAATTAAGTCAGCTGGTGATGATATCATAACAATAAAACATACAGTATATGACAGTTGATTGGTCCGGTTGATTCTTTGTGTCTTTGACCAAAGTCTCAATGCTGCATGTTGTAATCTGACTTCTTTCTGGTGTCTTTATACCACATCTATACTGTGAGCACAGCCCAACAAATTACTGAACTATTGAACTTTATGATTTATTTATTTAGATTCAGAAGTGAGTTGATTATGAAGTAAGATGGTGGTGTAAAATGGGTCCAAATCCAAAATCTGCTGAACTGTGTTTCTCTCTCCTCAGGGTTCAGTGCTGAGATCTCTGTGTTTGTGAAGATGGGAGATTCTGTTCAACTGGATATACAGACACAGAAACTACCAGAGTTTGATCTTTTATCTTGGACAAATGATAAATCAGAGAATATAGTTAAATATATATGTGGAACTAAAGAAGTAAAACTTCACTCCTCCTACAAGGACAGAGTATATTTCAATGATGAAAGCTTCTCTCTCACACTGAAGAACATGCAGAAGACAGACAGTGGACTCTACACAGCAAGAACTAGTGGAGAATCAGAGGAAAATATTGTTATATACAGAGTATCTGTTATAGGTGAGTCTCATTTCATTGTGAGCATAAATAACAATTTATGAGTAATTTATGTTTAACTTTTACATTTATATTACACGTTGAAACCGGTTGAAATCATAAAAAATGATTTTTTAATTCATTATGTTATTTTCTGCAACTTTAATTAAAGCAAAAAACAACACCATTGGAGTCCTTTCCTTAGACCTTTAAATAGAGAATACAGATAATGTGGCTTGAAAACTCATTTGTTGACTTCGGATTTGAATGTGTACTGAGTCACTTCACGACTGTGGTCTTTATTCAACAAAACAAGTATTTTAACCTTTTTACATCACTGTGCTGGGTGTGATTCTGATTTTGGAGTAAATGTGTGTTTCAGACGCTGTGGAGGCTCCTGTTCTGACTGTAAACTCAAACTCCAGCAGTGACTCCTGTACTGTGAACTTCACATGCAGAGGTCATGACCTCATGATAAACTCTAGCTATCAGAACAACAGATGCTCTCCACAGGAAGTGACATCACAAATCAATACTCTAATCCTGAACTGCAGTGAGGAATCAATCATCTGTAACCATAGCAACCCAGTTAGCAGCAAAAAAGGCATAATAAACATCAAACAGCTATGTGGAGTTAAACACACGCGTGTGTGTATTCGTCGACCTATTTAAGGGGACCTTCATGTCGTTACCACACTCACCAACAGGGGACCGCCGAGCATCAGAAGCTTTATGTTGTGGACATTGCAAGAAAGTTATTACTTTAAGAAATGCTAAGAAATGCATTCTCTGTTGTGGCTTTATACTTACAGTATATGTTTGGCTAACATATCCCATTGAAGCTTATTGTCAAGAACACCAAGATATTAATAATGCGACTTGGTAGTATTGGCTGCCTATTAATTAAACATAATTTCTATAAATTTCCACTCAAATAAAATCAACAGACATGTCCTTTCTTGTTTCCTTTGTTTCTAGGATGTTGATGTATAGTCAGTGCATGAAATATTGCTAAATTTAAATGCAACCAAACATTGTCATCCTTTACCATCCTTCAGTGGACCTTTCTTGAAGATCAAATTTAAAACTTTTAAAGGGTTAGTTCACCCAAAAATGAAAATTCTGTCAGTATTTACTCACCCTCATGTTGTTCCAAACTTCTATGTGTTTATTTGTTCTGCTGAACACAAAGGAAGATATTTGGAAGAATGTTTTAATCAAACAGATCTCATTCCCCATTGACTACCATAGTAGGAAAAAACACATACTATCAATGGGGAATGAGATCTGTTTGATTAAAACATTATTCTAAATATCTTCCTTCCAGTTACCCTGCTGTGTCTCAGCGACTCTTTCTGCTGCTCTCTGTCCAAAGACTCTGAGGCAATGGTGTCCAGCGCCGCCTTAAATTGAGGGGGAGCCAGTCTCCACTACGAGTGCTTGAACCAATGTTGGGCGAATTCCTGCCTGGGAAATTTCATAAGGCTCCAGTAGATTCAAGGAAGGAGGGGATAACCCCAACAACAAGTGTCTTGTTCCCTCCTCTCAGGTAACTGATGTTATATTATGTAACCAGAGACGTTTCCCAGAAATCACGTGATGATTTATGTTATGTAACCTGAGACGTTTCCCAGAAATCACGTGATTTAAACAAGAAACCTGTTCCCCTGTGGCTCACAGATTCATTTGTGGTTATTCTGGACTGGTCCATCAGTCAATAAAGGTAGGTATTAATCAGATATGTTCTAAAATTTTGTGAGATCAAGATAATCAGTTTCAAGTGTGTAGTTGAGAGGTTGGAGCTCTATGATTATATGAGGCTTTCTGAGATTCTCTTAATTGGTAAGGCTTTGATCACTGTCTTCATAAGCAGTGTGTAATTTGTGAACTGTTTAAGTTTTTTTTTAATCCTATTGATTTTCAAGTTTCAATTCAATTCATGTTTATTTGTATAGAGCTTTTCAAAATACACTTCATTTCAAAGCAGTTCAGATGGATTCCAGTCATTGATCAACAGGTGATTTTCTTTTATTGTTATTAATATTATTATTCATTTTTTAAATGAATAGTTGTATTATTAAGGATAAGTTTGTCTGTGTTTCTCCTGGATGTTCACATAAATATGCAATGAGCAAATTATTAATAAACAACATTTATTATGCAAAGTTGGTCTTTAATGGTCAATTCCATGGGGGACAGAGCTATGAAATATATATGTATGTATGTATATATATATATATATATATATATATATATATATTGGGGTTTCATATTAGGCAGTGGAGTCGGAGCCATTCAATTGCTTGTGTATTTATCATGTGCATGGGTGTAAGATGAGACGTCACCATTTTGCTGTCCATATCAAATTAAATTTACAAAAAGTGATTTTATATACATACAAATATTGAATACATTAAAGTGTCTATACTTTCATGTTTTAAATAATGTTTGTGAAAATAAAATGTCAAAATGTGGCTGAAATAATGCTCCAAAATGTAAATTTGTCATTCAAATTTTCAGCATTCAAAGTAATGTTTTTCTTATTCAGTGTAATGCAAATTCTGATACACGTCATGCATTATACTGAATGAAGTACCACTGCATAACAATTTTAGCATCTCTTACTTACAGATAAATGAGTAATGTATAACACTGACAAATATACAAAATTCATTGTATGTATTTAATGCATTTTTGTATAGTTTTATTTGTGTTATTGATTTATTTTAGGCTGCCAAAAACAGAAAGAGTTGCTATGTTCGCAACAGCAAGCGTGATGTGTAGCTAGCGACACCAGTTATAAACACTTGATCCCGTGTTGTGTAACTGTGTGGAGTTTTTGGACAATCAGACTCAGAGAAGCAGGCAGCAGTTTCACTGGATCTTTTATATAAAACACAAATAAGTACACTCTAAAAAATGCTGGGTTGTTTTAACCCAACTTTGGGTCAAATATGGACTAACCCAGCCGTTGGGTTAAATTTTTACATTACATTTTTAACCCAACATTTCGGGTTTGTCCATATTTGACCCAAAATTGGGTTAAACCAACCCAGCATTTTTTAGAGTGTAGCGTTTAGAGTGGAATTACTCTTGTTCTCTCTCCTATGAGATAACAATGCAAATGGCAAAAAAAGAGGAGCACAAAACAATCTGGGCAAAGAAAAATGACTTATGCTCACATTTCCACATATTCAGCAGAAGACAAAAATATAACTCTGAAAAGGGTAAAATTGAAGGGAAATATATATAAAAGCAATAATTACAATAAAGATTAAATAATATTATTAAAAATTAAAAAAGAATTTTAATTTCATCTTTGACCCATACTGCCATGAACAGCTTTTAAAATTTGTCTGGGAATTATTCACCACACCTGGTTAATGTTTATTTTGTTTTACAGTTATATCATTATGGATCAGGAAACAGATGATAATGCCATGGACACCTCTCCAGAGTCATATAGAGATTCAGATTGTGTCAGTCCTTCAGTCACACATCAGTATACAAATGACATCATGGACAATCCTCAGGTAACAAATCAAGAACCAGATGATGTCTTAGTGAATCCTCCCATTAAACATGATGAAAAATGCACAGAAACTCTAAACAAAGATAATGATGACCCAGCTGTGGCAGACTCAACCACTTCAGTTCCTTTCACATCACCTGATCAAGATCCTGGAGTAAAGACCTCAAATAAATCACATGAAGAATACAAGGTAAAAAAGATAACATTCTTAAAATATGTTCCAAAAAGGGGTTTCCTCAGTAATGCTAAATTAGAAGAACCATTTTTGGATCCACATGCCCCCTCCAAAAAAACTTTCAGTGAACTTTCAAAGTCCTTAAAGGGTTAGTTCACCCAAAAATGAAAATTAAGTCATTAATTACTCACCCCCATGCTGTACCAACCTTCGTTCATCTTCGGAACACAAATAAAGATATTTTTAATTGAATCTGAGAGCTGGATCAGTCCTATATAGACTGCCTAAGGGACTGGCTCTTGACGGCCCATAAAGTCATTAAAGAAAAGGTTTAAATATTCCATGTGCCTACAGCGGCTCAATTATAAGTTTATCAAGCGACGAGACTACTTTTTGTGCGAAAAAAACATAAATAACGACTTTATTCCACTATTCCATTACTTCCTTATGGGCGCATGCGCGAGAACTGAGACGAGGACGTTCTCATTCGTCTACTTCTTGTTACCGGCTGCTCACCGCTTAGGAGTTTTACCGCCACCTGCCGTATAAAATGATGTGCTGATATAGCTGGAAGCGCAAAACTTTCTGTTTACAAGCAGAGGAAGATGCGCGCTGTACATACGCTTTTCAATTAGCGTATTTTCCGCACTATAAGGTGCACTTAAAAGCCTTTAATCTTCTCAAAAAACGACAGTGTTCCTTATAATCCGGAGCGCCTTATATATGGATCATCATTTTATACGGTAGGTGGCGGTAAAACTCCTAAGCGGTGAGCAGCCGGTAACAAGAAGTAGTCAAATGAGAACGTCCTCGTCTCAGTTCTCGCGCATGCGCCCATAAGGAAGTAATGGAATAGTGGAATAAAGTCGTTATTTATGTTTTTTTCGCACAAAAAGTAGTCTCGTCGCTTGATAAACTTATAATTGAGCCGCTGTAGGCACATGGAATATTTAAACCTTTTCTTTAATGACTTTCTGGGCCGTCAAGAGCCCGTCCCTTAGGCAGTCTATGTAGGACTGATCCAGCTCTCAGATTCAATCAAAAATATCTTTATTTGTGTTCCGAAGATGAACGAAGGTCTTACGGGGTTGGAACAGCATGGGGGTGAGTAATTAATGACTTAATTTTCATTTTTGGGTGAACTAACCCTTTAAAACAACCTCTTTTAGTGCATATTATATTTGAATAATTTTTTTTAGCAATGAATGAATTTTGTTCAATGGAAAAATTCCACGGATATGCTTCATCGAACCAGATGCCAAAAAAGGCACTTTATTTTTAAGAATGAAGAGTGTAATTTGAAAAGAAAAAAAATCTTCTTCTTGTTGCACTTTACATTTAAGGCCCAATATTTCCTTCTAATTCACAAGTTTGGCTATTTCACCTACACAGAAGTAGAATAAACATGCAAGTGTGACGTTCATACTTTTGGCCACATGGCGTATGCAAATGTTTACTAATGTCTTTTAACCTTTAAAAGTCCTGGTTATAAGAAAATTATAATTTTGTTGTTCTCTCTCCAGGATAATGTTAAACCAATAGAAGAAGGGAGGAACCTGGAACCTGATGGTAATAAAAACACAACTAGTGTCATGGTTTGGGTTTTGTTGTCATTGGTTGATTGTTTAAACATCCACAGGTGTCCCTTGTCTCGTTGTTTGTCCAGGATGAATTTAAGCAGCCAGACATGTATCTAGTTCAGTTTTAGATTTCTTGATGTTGTTGTGTTGCATGTCGGTTACGGAGTCTTAGTCTGAGTTTATTTCAAAGTCCTAGTCTTTATTTAATAAAAACACTGCTTCACTTGGATCCTGCTTCTTGCTGTTTCATAACATAGTACATGTGTGCTCAGGCTTTAATGATTCAAAAAGGATACGAAATGTGCCAATATTAGCAAAAAGCACCATTCTTATATTGTTGCATTATTCTTATATTGTCTGAGAACAGTTCTGTGTTGTTTGTTTTAGATCACGGTGATCCCGATGTGACGGTTGCATTATTTGGAAGCTCCGAGGCAGTCCAGTTCGGATGTGACAACAGTCTACTTGGAGAAAAACAACCCTGTCTTAAAAACACAGAATTCCCCATGACCATTCCAATACAGAGGAAGATATCAGAACATCTTGCCTCTGTGATCAACATGATAGGCTTACATGAGACTAATCTTGAACCTCTCAATCAAGATATTGGTCAACTTCTAAATGAAATCCATGCCTTCATCTTTGTTGTGCGACTTGGACAGTTGACAGACGAGGATAAAATGGGCATTGAATGGCTACAGAGAATATTTGGTGACAGAGTTCTTTCATTTGTGATTATTCTCTTCACCTATGAGCGAGAAGAAGAGACTGACACTATTATAGATGACTTAAAGAACAACTCTGTTCTGGCACAGCTCGTGGAGAAATGTGAAGGAAGATATCACATCTGCAGCAAGAACATGAACAACCAATCAGAGATGAGAGAATTGATTGACAAGATTAAACAGCTGTTCACTGAAAATAATCAGCAGTTCTACACAAGAGCGATGAACAAACCTTCAGGAGACCTGCAAGACAGTGAATCTCAAAGTGGTAACACAGATCCTATGTTGATTTTTGTCTTACGGTATATTGCCACAACTCCATTTTAACATGTGTGGGAGGAATTAAGGTTGTAATACTAATGTTGTCCACCAGAGGAAGTGTACATTAACATAATGTAGATTAAAATCTAGATTAAAATCTTTGTAACTGGTTCAAAAGATTGACTTGTAGTAATAATAAAATTGCAGGGATCAGTGATCTCCAAAATACTTGTTATTAAACAATACCTTAATTTTAATGTATTGAAAATATAAAAATGTATCAAGCCAAGGCACCCAAGAGTTAAATTAAATAAACAGCCTTTATTTCATTATGGCTAAGGCAATTAAAAGCAGTTTTCAAATAACCGTACAACGGCGCATTGTGGCCTCTCGCGGTTCAAACAAATAGGCCTGGGTGACAAAATCAAGCTCCTCTTCTCTTATACCTAAATCATCCAACACTTTTATACCTAAATCATCCAACACATCCAACTAATTTGTGATCATGTTTTGTTCATCAATACATCATGCATCTGGTCTGGTCTCATGTACAGCCATTACCGAAAGCCAGTGATTAGTTTATGAAGTTAAAAATATGGATATTTTTCAAAGTTCCTGTAAAGTCAAAATTAAGTATGTGTTCTGAGTTTATTACACCACAGAAAAATGTGTTATTAGCCACCCAGCCAAATTTGAATGATAAAAAAGCCGCAAGTACATAAAATAAGCTAGCAAAATCTTGAAAGAATGAGCAGCCATCTCTATCTAGCAGTTATTTCTATTCTCAAACGCTGGGGGCGTGTCCGCTGGCTGCGCTGAAACCACGCCCACTCGCGGGAAAGCTGTTGACGGTTATAATAGGTGATACCGCGTGCTTTCGGGACGGGAGAAAGAACGCTGAGGCGGAAGATCGTCGTTTCGGCCCCATTCACCAGTAACGGCGGAATATCAGTGAATCCCAGACGTCTCTGAGGAAAGTTAAAACGATCCTGTGTAAAATGATCACTAGAGGCCGTGTTGGCGGTGATCCTCAGCTCTTCATAAAGGTTGGCTCTACACAAAATTAATCCACCTCTTTTTGATGCGATCGTTTTTAGGAAATTTATATAAAGACACCGATCTGTTTTGTACATGATCGCATCCAGGTAGTAGCCTATGCATTTCCTTGTCGAAGGCATAGCAAGCTAGCAAACTGTTGGCTGTAGTAGCTAATAGTACTGACAGTCACTCGCGATTGAGCGGCGAATGCGAATGTGCTCTATTGTTAGAGGAGAGCTCAGCCTCAGTGCGTCATCAAGTAGGGGCGTGTCCACGAGCTCAGGGGGTCCAGTGCGTCATCGAGCCCTGTTTTAGCCCCGCCCAAAAAATCCGTAAAATAGCAATGTGGAAAAAATGTTTAATTCCATATTTCAGAACTTCACAGTTCACAGTCTTTGTAATATGTTTTAGCAATACATTTCTAACATTTATAATGTGTTTAGAATTTTTTTGTATAATTGCCTTTACAAGGACTTAAAGAGGCTTTGGTACTTTAATCGAACCCTTTACTTAAGACTTACTGATATAAAATTAAAATTAAACTTTATTTTGAGTACTTCTTTATTGCACACTGCACATTTCTCTAAATTATGCTTAAAACATTTTTTTAATATCGCTATTATTAAGGATAGTATTGTATATGATCTCTGCATAATATCAGTCTTTATGCAAAATATTTAACGTGTACCTAAAGTATGCATGCAATAGTTGTAATATTCATGTAATATTTAGTATATCAAAAGTACAATTGTTATATTGTACTAATTAATACAATATAACAATTGTATTAATATTTTTATTTTTATAGAAATTTTTTTACAGATATTTTATAAAGGGTATGTTATTAAGCACATAAACATGTAAAAGTATTTGTATTATACTTAGCACAAAATTAATCTATTTCAAATACATTTTAGTAAATATTTTAGTATATTAGAGAAGTCTAATAAAAGAGCTACCAGTGACAACTCCCCTCCATTTGTTTTTATAAAATCAAGGTTCAGAAACAGAAGCAAGCATTGGTGAGACTAAAGCACAGCCTTTGGAGAGCTTGGCACAACTACAACCTGATAAAAGTGACAAACAAAAGGTAAAAAGCATTTTTTTTTCCCGGAAATGGATTCAATTTTACATTGGTTATGTATTTTATTTCTATATGTTGTTCTACCAGACATAATCTACATTTGACGTCTAAAACTATAAACGTCTAAAATATGCAAAGCATTCTAAAATATATAGCCTATCATTTTCTTATGAACAATGTTAGAATCAATTGAATAAGTTGATTATATTACTACATTTAAAATCATTCATGATCATTTGTTTCCAATGCCATTATCAGATTTATTTAACACATTTGACACATTCTTTTTTCTTTTAATATTGTTAGGATTGTACTATATAACCATAACCAGCATCTAAACGAGGATATTAATAATGAACAATCTTTGAAATCATATACCATAGCTTTAAAAGTTGTTCTGATAAAAACAAAAACAAAAATCTCTCTTTCAGGCACACACAGACATATAGATTCAGTGTATGAATCTCAACAATGGTGACATAAAGAATATTCCTTAGATAATTCAGATCATAATTTATTCATACCGCAATTTATGATGGGAGCTTTGAATGAGTTTTAATTGGTGGCACCCAGAATGCACTGCAAGATGCTTTATTATCCTCACTATTGTTGAGAATCACAGTCTGATTATTCATGTCTGTGTGTCCAAACAAAATTCCACTTTCAACGACTTTTGATCAGAACAACTTTTAAGAAATCTTTTGGATTAATTGGATCTGATAATGACCAATATACATCAATGCTAGAGATTAGGTCTACTTGAGTTCAGTCATTCAGGTCATATGATTGTGAAATAATGATTATGTTAAAACATAAACCAATACCATGAGATCACATTTTCTCTTTGTTCTTCTGGCTGTCAAAACTCATGTACAGCAGCCAAACAAAATCTGAAGTTATACGTGTAAAGCCCGGGACACACCAAGCAGACGCCAACGAACTAGCACTGGTGAAAGCCAACTGTGTTGTCACCTCTCGTCTTGCATATTCATACTTGGCATAGGTCCTAATTCTAAATGTATAAATTACTATAAAGTGCACATGGCTTATCTACTAGTCATACCAATTAACTATGTAATGTTGTACTGTATTTTTCAGCTAGGAGCTATGCAACTCTTTGACAGGATTCAACTTAAAGGCAAACACCAAAAACTGAGAACTGTAGATTTCCTTAAGCCAATTGTACAATCACAATCCCAAGAGTCTTGTGGAGAGGAGGAGCTGGCTTCAGTTTTTCTACAAAAATTAATGATGCTGGACTACAGAGCAAGATGCCTCCAGAGTAAAGGGAATAATGAACAACATAACACACAACAAAGGAACAATGACTTTTCTGAAGATGATGGTGATGCCTTTGATAATATTTTTGGAGAAACTGCTAAACCCTCTGATGAAACAAACCAAATAGATGCTGTCCACTTAATGGATGTTCAGATGGCTTTGCTTCATTGTGCCGATAGTTTCCTAAAGCAGCTCATGGTGACTAAACTTTCACAGTGTCAATATGCTCTCCCTCTGCTTGTACCAAATCCATTCACACAACAGATTGAGTTCCCACTCTGGACATTTCGACAAATCAACAAGAGCTGGAAGACAACTGATGATGAGGGTAAAGTCTCTAGCAAATTCCAGCCAGTCTATAAGGCAGAAACTCCAATGGTGGCTTTCTTCAGGTTTGGTCCTGTGACCTCATCGAAGTCTCAACTGATGAACAGCCTGATCAATGAAAAACACAACACATTCTTCCACAGGAACTGCCCAGGCAGCAGCAGAACCAGAGTCCTGATGGATGGACTGGTGGAGATCGCCTGGTACTGCCCCTCTGGAAAGAAAACAGATAAATTTACTCATTGTGTTGCCATTTGTAACCTACATGGTGATGCAGGAGCCAATGAGAAGCAGCTGCATATCCTGACTGAAATGGCCTCTGTTAATGTTGTTTTTTTACCACAACTCGGCAAGAATGACAAAAGCATGGCCAAGATCCAAAACTTCTACAAGGACTCGAAGCCCCTCATCTGCCTCCTTACTGATAATGATTCAGTTCTCACAGAAATGAAAGAATGGAAATACAAAATTGGTTTGAAAGACAGAAATCAGTCAGTTGTATTTGAAGAAATCAGAAGAGCTATAAATAATGGACTCTTGTCTTTTGAATCATCTCCTATTTTCAAGCTTGAAGACGTGGCTGAGCGCTCCGGTATCAAAGTAGATGAGGAAAATGATGAAGACCTCAAAAGAGGAAAAGAGGTAGCACAGAAGATGATGAGTTTACTGCAGGATAAAGATCTGACTGAAATCAAAGAGTCATTATTGCCATTGCAGGGAAAACTGTGGCATCAATGGTGCGAGAAGAACAAAGAACTTCATCGACCTAAATTAGGAGAATTACATAAGGGGAGCAACATTGAAAAGAACAAAAGTTCTAAACAATCAGAAATGCTGAAAATTCGTGAACAGCAACGGACATCTGTCATAAGTCAGTTTATCCAAATCTTTATCCAAAACCTGAATTCACAAACAAGAAATGAGGTGTCTTATTTTCTAAAATGGCTGGGCATCCTGCTGGATGACTACACCGGTGAAAGTCTTTCAGCCCTTCTTCATCAGTATGATGAAAAATGGTCAACGGTCCTAGATCTCAAAAAGAAACAGGATAAATCACAGCAACTGGCTGCTGCACAAGTAGAACTTGAGACAGTATCTGAGAAATTACAAGCTGCAACCTTTGGCTTAGAGCACATACTGAGAGAGATTGGTCAGATATATGAATCATGTTCATCTGTGAAGAGGAACAAGAAAGATATGACCTTTGACTTCTCTTCTCTCCCACGTCTCGCAGCTGAGATGATGATGTCTGGATTTCCACTGGAGCTGATGGATGGCGACGCTGCCCATGTTCCTCTGATCTGGGTTACTGCTGTTATTGATGCACTCATCAAGAAACTGGGAGACCAGAGAGTCTATGTGTTGTCTGTTTTAGGGATTCAGAGCTCTGGGAAATCCACCATGCTGAACGCCATGTTTGGACTGCAGTTTGCCGTCAGTGCTGGCAGGTGCACCAGAGGAGCTTTCATGCAGCTGGTCAGAGTATCAGAGGAGATGAAAGCACAGCTGAAGTTTGACTATATTCTGGTTGTTGATACTGAGGGACTTCGTGCACTAGAACTGGCTGGAAGGTCAACAAGAAATCGTGACAATGAAATGGCCACATTTGTTGTTGGTCTTGGGAATATGACACTGATCAACATCTTTGGAGAAAACACAGCTGAGATGCAAGACATTCTTCAGATTGTTGTTCAGGCCTTCATGAGGATGAAGAAGATCAGACTGAATCCAAGCTGCATGTTTGTCCATCAGAATGTTTCAGATGTCACAGCCGGAGAGAAAAACATGGAGGGACGGAGACGTCTGCAGGAGAAACTGGATGAGATGACGAAACTGGCTGCTAAAGAAGAAGACTGTGATACAGAGTTTTTCAGTGATGTCATTACATTTGACGTTCAGACTGATGTCAAATATTTTGCACAGCTGTGGGAAGGCAGTCCACCAATGGCACCACCAAATCCAGACTACAGCAGAAATATTCAAGAGTTGAAGGACACCATTCTCTCAAAAGCTTCTACATCTGGCGGAATTACACTGTCTCAGTTCAAAATGCGTATTAGTGATCTGTGGAATGCACTGCTAAATGAAAGCTTTGTGTTCAGCTTCAAAAACACACTTGAGATTGCGGTATACAGAAAACTAGAAACTAAGTACAGCGACTGGACATGGAGCCTCAGAAGCGCCATGCTGAGCATTGAAGACAAATTCTACAACAGAATTGCCAACGGGAACATTAATGTTCAGGAAAAGGACCTGTTGGCTGACATGAGAAAGACAAAAGAGAAAGTAGAAAAATCAATAATGTCTTACTTTGAAGAGGACAAAGACAAAGAAATTCTGTGTCAGTGGCGAGGAAGATTTGAAACCAGAGTCAATGATCTTCATGATGACCTTGTAAAGGGAACAAAAAGAAAGTTAGAAGAAGCAATTGAACAGAAAAAAGCCAGGGAAAAGCTGGATCAGAGAAGAACAGATTATGAAAATGAGCTATTCAGTCGGAGCAAGGAATTAGCTTTAAGCCTGAGAAATACAGGAACAGATGAGAATATGCTGAACAAGGAGTTTGACACAATGTGGAGGAAATGGGTCACTGAAATGACTAAAGATACTCCTCCACTGAAAGACCTGAACTTCTGGGACGATGTTGCTCGAATCTTATCGGAAAATCAGGAATTAACTTTTGTAAATGAGCGGTTAAATCAGAAAGACTATGAACTGATCGTCCACCGGAGTGATTATTTTGTCTACATAAGACTGAAAAAGCATCTAGAGCATTCTGGTGAAGCTGTATCTTCAGAGGAGGCTGGCGAGAGCTCTAAGAAAAGCAAGAGTGGATTCATGCAAAGATTTGGTCAAAAAATCATGTCAGGAATAGAATATATTACAGGCAATCAAAAGGCACCAGAGAAAACAGACCTAAATGCTGAATGTCATAACTCGATAAGGCGTCTGACTCAAAAAATTATTCAGGAGACTGAGATGATAATGAAGAAGTCACCAGTCGGAACACGAGGCTACAGTGATAGTTACATTCAGGAAATAACAGACTGTGTTCAAAAGTCAGTAAAGCAACATGAATCCATGAGCCAAAAATACACACTGAAGAAAGAGTTTAGCATAGATCTCAGTCTTCATGTTTGTGACATTGCAAGACAGAAGTTTACTGAACTTCACAAAGAATTCAGAGAAGCAACTGACCCAAGAATTTTTCTAGAGAAGCAGAAACCTCAACATTGGAACATCTTCAAGAACTACTACAAAGGAGCGACGACAACAACCATACTGAGTGAATTCATCTGCGGCAAACTTGGGCCATCCATCCTACAAGCGGTTTACAACAAAACTGCTATTGATTTGGCAGCACAGATGAGGTCTGACATACCAGCATTACGTGAAAACAGACCAAATCTGGAGAAACACATTCTGAAATCCCTTGCAGAAAAGGAGGATTTCGGCCAGTACATAAAATACATCCATAATCCCAGAAAACACTTCAAACACTTCATAAAAAAGGAGGTGGACAGATACTTCACCAAACAAAACAAAATGATTCAAAAACTTTTCAAAGGAAATCTGACAGAAAAAGAGCTGATTGTAAGTAATGCCATTAAAACAGCTACAGTGGAGGTCAAGAGTCGGAGCGGAGACGGCAAAATGTGGTTCAGATGCTTCACCGTAAGCCTGACAGATGAGCTGAAACTCACAGAGAACTCATGTGGTGATCTCAGCGAGATTAAAGACTTGGATTTTCTTGAGACTGATTTAAGCGACAATCTGAAGAAAGAGACGACAAAGCTACAGAACAGCTTTACAAGCATTAATGACATGAAAATGTGCAGGAAAAGTCCAGATGAGATTTTGATTGACCACTTCTGTCAGTGCTGTTGGGTTCAGTGTCCTTTCTGTAAAGCCATCTGCACCCACACGATGGAAAGCCATCCTGGAGGTCACAGCGTTCCTTTCCACCGCAACATTGGACTGAATGGGTGGTTTTACAGAGGAACAAAAAACTTGTCTATTGATATCTGCACAACAGCAGTAGCAAGTGATCGATCTTTTTATCCAAATTCCTCTAAATACAAAGTTCCCTGGAACAAATACAGAAAAGGAGGTTCTAAATATGCTAACTGGAGCATCACTCCAGATCACTCTGAGCTGCCGTACTGGAAATGGTTTGTTTGCAGATTCCAGAAAGATCTGGAGGAGTACTACAGTAAAACATTCCAGGGACATGGTCAGATTCCAGATGAATGGAAAGAGTACACAAAAAAGGATGCTCTGGAAAGTTTGGAAAAATACTTGTAATGGCACTCTTTCAGATCCCTGTTTATAGAGGATGTTTTGACATCCTGTTTCACAATATTGTTTCTGAACTGGTAGATGCAGTATATTGTGCTTTTGTAGGAGTTCTTTAAAAAAAAAATGCATACTGAAGTAACACTGCTATGCTTTTTATTTACACATGTGACTGTTAGTCAGTGGGAAATGTTTAATGATTTATTCTGTCAAAAAATGTCATTAGATTATGAAATAAAAATAAAAAGGGGTTTTATTTTTGTGTCTCTATCTCCATGAAGGGAATTGGTGTATGTAGTGATGTAAAGCTGGAAATTCAATAGATGTGATTGACAATTTTAATTGTATTTACTGTTGTTGTTTTTATTGTTGATTTCATATAATGATGCTTGCAAAATGATGTTGCTTGTATCTTTAAACCTCAACCACATTTTACTTATCAGAGGTGAAAAAGCACCATGATTTCCTTATTGTTAATCTCTTTGATCTTTTGAAATCTGTGAGCTGTACTCGGTTATCACAGAGATGTAGTTCTACATGTTTTATTAATTTGTATGAGGATGTAATATCTGAATAAAGCTGAGTGAATTAACTGAAGTTTGATATCCTATATTTTTGTTACCACTACACAAAAGGGGTATGTGAAGAAAGTATAAAATTTTTTTGATGTGAATGCCTTTATGAACAGGCTAGCTTTAGTTGGGACCTAATACAACAGAACAAGATAGACATGTTTATTGGAAAATACACATTATAATAAAGTTGAAACTGCAAAGACATTTCATAAAATGCATAACAACATTTAGTTTAAACATACAACTTCTTCACATTTTAATATCAACAACTGTGGCAAATGTCTGCTCTATGTGTATTCTGCTGCATATGATAAACTCACGTCAGCTGCTCTTAAAGCAGTCACATTCATTCACAGGAATCACACTGTTTTAATATTAATATCAAACCAGAAAAAAAACTACATAAAATGTTATCCAATAAAGTATAGGGTTAGGTTTATTTATCAAACTGTGCATTTAGTTATCTGTGTTGTGTTTATTAATCCTTACATCCTGAAGGCATTTTAAAAGGCTTTACACAAAACTTAAAATTAAAACATGAGGCTTATTTAAAAGAAAAAAACAAGGTGGGAACAATTACAGGGCAACATTTGATAGAAAGCCTTTCAAAAATTGTCATTATTTATGTTTGAAATCAAGTAAGGTCTTGTTCACAATGAGTTAAATCAAGTTTGTTTGATTTTGAGACTTCCAAAATGTGCATCCCAGATTATTTTAACATCCTGATTTATCATCCTGTACGTAGTATACATTTGAACTTGTGTTATGTTTTGTGCTATGTGTTATGTTTGTGTTATGTTATGTTTTTACATAATATCTAAGGGTCTAAAAAAAATGTCAAATTCTTGCAAATTAACTGTTTAAGAGGGAACAATTAATTTAGGCAAATCTGCTCGTTCTCAAATGTACTCAACCGCGGCCTCTAGTGACAGATTTCAGGTCTAACATACACCAGATCGTCTTCCTCTGTCCCCCGGAAGTGACGCATTCTCTGATTGTCAACATGCAAGATGGCGACTCATCACAGACAGAACGCTGCTGGTCGGAGGAAAGTGCAGGTAATCATTTAAACGTAATATTTCGGAACTTTAAAACTATTTATTACAGAATTCTTAATACGTTTACGTGTTTCAGGAAAGCGTCGCCCTATGTAGTGTGCACAATACTTACAAACCGAAACATTTCCGCCCTTTCAAAAATTACTGTGGTGTTACCATAGTACAGTGATGATATCACGCAGTGGCATACAGTCATTTTTTGGTGTGTCCAAATACGTTTTTGGGCTACTGCACAATACAGATATATGATATTGTAATTGAATGTATTTGTATACAGCTGTCTGCTCAATAATTCAATTATTTAGATAAAAACATGTTTACATGTTACAGATTTATGTATAGCCTTAAAATCAAATGCTAATCTCTTAATGACTGATTTACAAGACAAACAACTGGTTCCAGGCTCTCTGTGTAATTAAATTTTCTATAAATTTAGTTGATAGGCATTTTTGTAGACTAGTTGCATGTAATCTCTAGTTGTCTAATAAACTAATATATATATATATATATATATATATATATATATATTAATAATGATGATTTTACAGGTTTCCTATGTGATTCGAGATGAGGTGGAGAAGTACAATCGTAACGGTGTGAACGCTCTTCAACTGGATCCTGCTCTCAACAGACTCTTCACAGCCGGCCGAGATTCCATAGTCAGGATATGGAGTGTCAATCAACACAAAGTACAACCAGCATTCTCATGATTTATGAATATTGATGGACTTCACTTGTCCCTTTCTTTTGCTACTTTGTGACCATATCATCCATTTTCACCATCAAAATCATTAATTTTTTATAGTTAAATCATGTTTCTGATAATTCCAGCTTTATGTGCTACTGTACTGACAGTTGTTTACTATTACAGCAGGATCCTTACATCGCTTCGATGGAGCATCACACTGACTGGGTCAATGACATCATCCTCTGTTGTAACGGAAAAACATGTACGTTTAAGCACTTCAAAAGATTTTTACAGGTTTAATGCTCAGATCTCATCAAATATATTCTAATTATTACACAGTTTCAGTGGATTGTTCTGTGTTGTAGTGATATCAGCCTCCTCAGACACCACTGTGAAAGTCTGGAATGCACACAAGGGATTCTGCATGTCCACGTTACGGACGCATAAGGTATGTTTCATATTTAAAACCTAAATTGTTGTTTTAATTTTTTAAAGAATTACACCTTTTATGCTTTGTTACATTTTCAAGTTTGTGTATTGTTGCTGTAATGTTCTGAAACAGTTACAAAGGCACTCCATAGGGAGTTATTCTCTATATCAGTGTCTCTGTTTCTGAACTCCCTGAAACACATTTATTGTAGTCTTGAGTTTTCTTTAAGGAACGAACACGTCACAATATTCCTCATTTAAATAAATCTCAACCAAGGCATACGTGAAAAAAAGGGCGAGGCCTTGTTGAGTTGAATTGCATTTTTGGACATTCAAGCATGAAAACCTATTCCAGTAGACCCCAAAAACAAAACCAAGACTTAGTAAAAGGGAATAATATGGTCTCTTTAATTATGCTAATGGTAGTCAGTCCACTTTTGAGCTTCCAGAATTTGCCTAGAAAACAGAGTGAGGCTACTTTGTTCTGTTTTTGTGTGCAAAATTTCTATATATGAGACTTATGACTGTGTTGATGGTGACAGTGGTTGTGATTCACACTTCAGGACTACGTCAAAGCTTTAGCATATGCGAAAGACAAGGAGCTGGTGGCGTCAGCCGGGCTGGACAGGCAGATCTTCCTGTGGGACGTGAACACGCTGACGGCTCTGACTGCCTCTAATAATACAGTCACAAGTGAGAAAACCGTCTTTATCATAACTCTTGACGCAGTCTTCCTTATTCACTGAGTTGGAGTCAAGCAGATGAATGTGAAAAAGAGAGTGCACAAATGTGTGTATATTTCCTGTGACAGCATCCTCACTGAGTGGAAACAAGGACTCCATCTACAGTCTGGCCATGAATCAGGCAGGAACCGTGATCATCTCAGGATCCACAGAAAAGGTTAGTCTTACAATGTTTTACTTTTACATTTGAAGGAAGGAAATTTTTCATTTATGTGACTGGAGGCAGGTTCAAATAAAAAGTTTTACTTGCAGAATGTGTTGTCACATTTCTTGTTATGGCAGGTCTTGAGGCTCTGGGATCCACGAACATGTGCAAAGCTAATGAAGCTGAAAGGCCACAGTGACAATGTCAAATCATTATTACTAAACAGAGACGGCACCCAGGTAGGACTTATACAGACATTATTGCACACTTTGAAAATATTTAAAATGTTTAAAGGGATACTTCAGGATTCAGCGTTAAGCTTTGTATTAGTAGAAAACCTGTAGTATTTTCGAATTACCATGCTTTCCACCCTCATATCCCCCTGAGACGAGAGATTTATGTATTTTTTGTCTTGAAAAAATCCTCAGATGACGCAAAATGACGACTTGTGCTTCATTGGAGGATTTTTTGGGCAGAGGCTAAAGACCACAGTCAGTATTGGGTCTGTCCCGCATGTTCTCAACCCGCCCATAGAGGGCGATCTCACTCACAGAATGAACACATAGTGTCGGCCATCTTTTTTTGGAAGCTAAGCTAGCAGGCTCTTGTTCTGTGGAGAAATCTGAGTAGTCTGGGTTTCCATCCTCTTTTTAACATGTCCGGCCGTCGATGTCCGGGATTCAGCTTTTGCTTTCTGCAGTCGCCATTCATTGTTTACATGCACAGCTTTTGTTTCAGTCTAACTGAATTCATTCCGATTGGTGAATCTGAATGTAGTGTTTACATGAACGCTAAACAAGTGATTTGCGTTTTAACATTGCTAAGAAAATTCCCGCTCCTCCGTGAGAGATACGAGACCGGTGCGTCTCACAGGTGTTGCTCATCGGTAATCACGTCACCGGCCTCGCGCCGTTCTCCCGCGGCCCTCACTCGTCCCGCTCGCCACATTAAACATGATGAATGGCGACTGTAGAAACGCAAAAGCCGAATCCCGGACATTTTGGGCGATCTGGAAACACATTTTCGGGCAGACTCATCACGGATACTCACTAGTAGCCTAGACTTGTTTTTTAACTACTGGAAGTGCATTCTGGGAGTTGTTGTCTTTCATCCACAAAAGCCAAAAATACATTTTCTGGCTTTTCTCAGTCTAGAAATCTCCAAATTCAAAAATTATTTCTCATTTCTTCTACATAAATGACCCATTTTAAATACACATTCATCTTTTCAGAGGTGAAGTATCCCTTTAAATATGTTTTTGCTATTCAGGCTACTAAAAACTGAATAAAACCATTGACTGACTCTGCTAATGTTATCCGCGTGCTGTGTTTCTCTGTCTAGTGTCTTTCTGGTAGCTCAGACGGCACGATACGCTTGTGGTCCCTCGGCCAGCAGAGATGTATCGCCACATACCGGGTCCACGATGAGGGGGTGTGGTCCCTGCAGGCGAACGAGGCCTTCACACACATTTACTCCGGAGGACGAGACCGAAAGATCTACTGCACAGATCTGAGAAACCCTGACATACGTGTGCTCATATGTGAAGAGAAAGCTCCGGTCCTCAAGGTGAGAGCGAGCTTAAGATGCATAGTGCTTGAAAATAAAGAAATGAAAGGTTACTCTTACGATTTATCTGATGCTCTGTGCAGATGGAATTGGACAAATCAGCCGACCCTCCTCAAGCCATTTGGGTGTCCACAACTAAATCATTTGTGAACAAATGGGTGAGTTACATAACCACAATTCAGATGGTTCTTTTCTTAAAGCAAAGGTTTATAAAATTCTGTCATTATTCAGCATCAATATGAATTAAGCGACTGTATTCATATTTCTCAGTGAATACTTATCCTAACCCTAACAAGACAGCCGAATTGAAAACTCATTTCTTCCTTGAGCACTTGTTTGCATGAAAGTTCTTGCATATGTGAGCAATGATGAAAG